TTTACCTCTTGCATGCCCTTTCTCGCCTCTATCCGATCCTTTCGCGGACAAACGATTAATATTCTGTATTTTAATACAGTCGAAACTCTCGCAAACGACGACCTCGGAATTTCGAAAAAGTGTTCGTAACTAGAGTTGATCGCTTACAAGAATGAACTCTCGTAAGCAACCGCATGGTAAAACAATAGTAGGTGGTAGCCTACGAGAGGTTCGGAAACTCTTTAAAGATTTACAAAAAAAAATAATAATAAGGAAAGAAAGAAATTAATGTTTAATGAGTGTTTTTCTATCTAATGTAGACACGGCTAAAGAACCATTTGCGCAATGTGCAGTTTCATTAAAATGTTAGCAACAATTATTTCATCTTGCTTTGATCCACGTAATTGTCTACGTTCAAATCAAACCGATGTCAGTAACTTGATTGCTATATCATAACCTTATTACATTTTCACGATAAGCGTTACTGTTTTAGTTTTATTTTACAAATCTTTTGTAACACTGTATGTATTCATGGTGAATACATAGAAAAGTCTACTTGGGTATTCCCAAAAGTGGTCGTGGTCGGTTCACGAGTGCTTTTCATTACAAAGTTTAAGTCANAAAAAAAAAAAAAAAAAAAAAAAAAATAATGTTTAATGAGTGTCTTTCTATGTAATATAGACACGGCTAAACTTTACGTTTAATTATTAACTGGTCAAGAACCATTTGCGTAATGTGCAGTTTCATTAAAATGTTAGCAACAATTATTTCATCTTGCTTTGATCTACGTAACTTTCTACTTTCAAATCAAACCGATGTCAGTAACTTGATTGCTATATCATAACCTTATTACATTTTCACGATAATCGCTACTGTTTTAGTTTTAGTTTACAAAAGCTTTTGCAACACTGTATGTATTCATGGTGAATACATACAGTTTTGCAAGAGTTTAAAAACAAAGGAAAAGTCTACTTGGGTATTCCTAAAAGTGGTCGCGGTCGGCTCACGAGTGCTTTTCATTACAAAGTTTAAGTCACAGTTCAAGTGGGGTTTCGAAAAGATGGTCGTAACTAAAGCTGGTTTCTTACGAGAGGCGTCGCAAGGAGAGCTTCGGCTGTACTTGCTTGTTGTTTGACTCATCAGGTATGACACAATAATCACCCTTTTACTCTCTCCTTCTCTTTTCCATAAGGTTATTCTATAACCAAAAGCATTGTTCTTTCAATCACACACTCTTTGTAGGTCAGAGCACCGCTGCGGTAAGTGTGACATCGTTCAGGGCAACAACAACTGTGGAATCGTCCGGTGCAACACTTAATGTGGGATCGCCTAGCGGTGAAATAAGTAGGGAGTCGTCCAGCACAGCAAACACTCTGGAATCGTCCAGTGCAACAATCAATGTGGTATCGCCCAGCGGCACAATGGATGTGCCATTGTCTTACGTAACAACACGAACAGTAAATGTGGAATCGTCCATCGCAGAATTTACGTCTGCGGCGTTGGAGTCAGCGTCACAGTGGGTAAACACGCCGCAAGTCAGTACAGCACCCATCTCGACCACTGAGACTGGCGTGGAAGCAACGATTGCATCAACAGTGAAACCAACAGTAACCTCTTCTGTAAATGGTAAGTATGTAGTTATGAGTGATTGGTTACAACTGTACTAAGTTCAGTTGTGTAATACTGTTGGCTAGATTCCACCCCGAAAAAGAGATATTTTGCTTTCTCGATTCCAAGAATGGATAATTTTATTCGCGATTTGACTAACCTAACTAACCCGGGATAGTTAATCGATAAAAATCGATATCGGAAACCACTCGAGAAATCGATATCAATCGATAAATTAAGTTTAAATGTTAGATACTCACACGCTGACGTAGTTTCAAAGTTATCGATTTTATCGATTTCATCGGATTTTGTTTGAAAGTACGGAAAATCAAGACCCTAGGTTATAATTTTGGGTTCAGCACTTCGATGTCCTTTCTAGCTTAAATGCTTTCGCGTGCAAACGATTAATATAATGTATTTCATTCATACTTGCTCGTTTGACTCGTACAACTATTGCGCTTTTACATGGAATGTGACACCCTCCTTCTCATTTCCGTTAGGTTATTCTATTGCCGAAAGCACTGTTCTTTCAATCACACATTCCTTGTAGGTCAGAGCACCGCTACAGTAAGTGTGGCATCGTTCAGTGCAACATCATTTGTGAAATCGTTCAGTGCAACACCAAATGTGGGATCGCCCAGCGACCAAATAAGTAGGGAGTCGTCCAGTGCAGCAAGCACTCTGGAATCGTCCAGTGAAATCAATGTGGTATCGCCCAGCGGCACAATAGATGTGCCATTGTCTTACATAACAACACGGGCATTAAATGCGGGATCCTCCATCGCCGCATCATTTACGGCTACTGCATTGCACTCAACGTCACAGTCGGTAAAGACACCGCAAGTAACTACAGCACCCATTTCAATCACTGAGACCGGCGTGGAACCAACGATTGCATCAACTGTGAAACCAACAATAACCGCTGCTGTAAATGGTAAGTGACAGTTATGAGTGAATGGTTTCAACTGCACTAAGTTCAGTGGTTATATACTGTGGGCTAGACTCCACAGAAAAAAAGAGAAATTTTGATTTGCCTATTTAAGGAATGGATAATTTTATTCGCGAGTCAGCTAAAACTAACCACGCTTGCCTCTACCAGTCGCTTGAAAAATTTTATGAGTGATGGCATTGATTAACACGCCAACTAATTGCCAATGAACATTACTTCTGGTACACACTACTCGCGAGATCGTTCGGTGGTGTACGCGTAGTACGATTCGAAGCACGATTCATCACAAGGTAGCCAAAGCTCGGAAAATGTAGAGTGTGCAGAGCCCCTTTACTTTTCAATGCACGTGAAAGGAAAAGCGAGCCATTCATTCAACTTAGTATTCATGACATAGTTACTCAATTTTAAGATCTCATTTTCAACATATGATTGTGGAAAATAAAAANAAACGATTAATATAATGTATTTCATTCATACTTGCTCGTTTGACTCGTACAACTATTGCGCTTTTACATGGAATGTGACACCCTCCTTCTCATTTCCGTTAGGTTATTCTATTGCCGAAAGCACTGTTCTTTCAATCACACATTCCTTGTAGGTCAGAGCACCGCTACAGTAAGTGTGGCATCGTTCAGTGCAACATCATTTGTGAAATCGTTCAGTGCAACACCAAATGTGGGATCGCCCAGCGACCAAATAAGTAGGGAGTCGTCCAGAGCAGCAAGCACTTTAGAATCGTCCAGTGCAATAATAAATATGGTATCGCCCAGCGGCACAATAGATGTGTCATTTCCTTACGTAACAACACGAACATTAAATGTGGTATCCTCCATCGCGGCATCATTTACGACTGCTGCATTGCACTCAGCGTCACAGTCGGTAAAGACAACGCAAGTCAGGACAGCACCCACCTCAACCACTGAGCCAGCGATTGCATCAACTGTGAAACCAACAATAACCTCTTCTGTAAATGGTAAGTGACAGTTATGAGTGAATGGTTACAACTGCACTAAATTCAGGTGCCTTATACTGTTAGCTAGATTCCACTGGAAAAAAGAAATATTTTGATTGGATAATTTTTTTCGCGATTCGACTAACCTAACTAACCACGCTTGCCTCTACCGGTCACTCTAAAAAATTTTTTGACTGATGGCATTGATTAACACGCCAACTAATAGC